ATTGATTTGATCGATCGTGATCGTGGTTGATCTGTGATTTGAGTCGAGATAGACTTTCTGATCGATCGTGATCATGAATGACGTCATTGTGTTGGTGCTCATAGCTGCCATAGTGGTGCAGTTTTGGTTGACTTGCCCAGGTCCATGGTGGTGCTCAAAGCTGCCAAATGATAGGATGCCCTTGGTCAGAGGGCTGTTCCAAAAATTGTGTCTTGTACCCAAAAGGTTGCCTATGTCTTTTTAGGATTTTATATAGAATAGCTGCCATGTTTGCATTGTTGTATGCAAGTAGATGCATTCCCCAACGCTGTTCATACTTGTTAGCAATGGTCTCTCGATTGCCCTTTAGGTTGGCATGCTATGTAGGCAAAAGTTGAAAAAATGAAAGGTTTGAAAATGTGATCCTTTGGCGCTGCTTGGATCATCCTTGACTTGCTCATGCTCGTCTTCAGACATGTGATCCTAATTGCTTCGTGGATCCTTCTCGACTCTTCGAATAGGACATGCGCTCGGTACTCGCTATATATCTTTGAGTGCTGCACTTCTTATGCGCACGTCTTCAGATAAGCTCGTACATACTCGCTGTATCCTACATTACCTCCCCCTTGCCAGGTTCTTCCTGGAATCGATGCGGCATGAGCGAGTTAAAACAAGACTGGGTAGCACAAAAAGTAAGGGAGGGTGGGTGGGAGAAAAAGCCTTATAACTTTTGGGGAAAAGGTGGTTTAGGCATCCCATAATGAATAATTTACTACTTATTTGCGCAATATGTAGTAAATTTGAGACCATGTCTGGGTAAAAGGGTTCCCAATATCCCATTGTGTGTGCCAAAATAACTCCCTAAAAATTGGATTATCTATTGTGGACTGCTAAGTAAAGATCTATTTCCGCCAGCAGTTTACAGTCAAAGACTGCCCTGCTCTTGGAGATCTTATATGTGGACAATCACTGTGTCAATTCAGAGTAGCATGTCTTTAGATATCCAGAATATTTTATATATTTATAGGTGACCAATCCTATATACAAATGATATATAAATGTCATAGTTTCATGTCATTTCGGACGTTGTGTGTCTTATATAAGCGATAACTCGTGGTATTTTCGCAAATATTGCCCATATTTTGAAAGCAATGTTGGTGGGGCTGCACAAGTATCCAAGATCAAATGTTGCTGCAGCGCTGTCCTGGTGAGGGAGCGGCTTACGCGAAGGTGCCTGCTACCAAGTCTTGAGGTAGGCTGACAGCGGTAGAGGTGATGATGGAGTATGATGTCAAAAAAGGTGCGCCCCACACCTGAGTTTCTCTGGGCTGAAAA